CCGGAAATCCCCGGCTTTAATCCTTTTAATTCATAAACCAGCAAATTGCTGAGCGAGTCCTGGGAAGCCCCTGGGAGCAAACGAGGACGCAGCGCTGGCCTTTTGGTTAGAACAGTGTTTCTCAACCTTGGCAACTTGAAGATGCCCGGACTTCAACTCCCAGAATTCCCCAGCCAGCATTCGCTGGCTGGGGAATTCTGGGAGTTAAAGTCCGGGCATCTTCAAATTGCCAAGGTTGAGAAACACTGAGTTAGAAGAAGGGAGGACTGCATGGCCTGGGGCGGCCTCAGCCTCTTCGTGCCACTTTTCAGGTACGCCATGAAGTGTTTGGATAAGAAGCGCATCAAGATGAAGCAGGGGGAGACCTTGGCCTTGAATGAACGCATCATGCTCTCTCTCGTCAGCACCGGGGTGAGTGCCTTGTCCTGGGGTCTGGTTGCAGCGCAGGGGGAAATGGGGGGGGCAGGGAGGGTCTCACAGTGGACCTGTGTGGACGTACCGAGGGCTCTTGCGGAAAAGCTGGAGCGCCTCTGCAGCGCTTGGCAGGGGAACGCCTGGAGACCATCTGCAGGGATCCTGGGGGGTCGTGGAGCTAGAACGCCGTTGTTGCCCCCCCCCCAGTTTGGCCAGTCCATCTGGGGCTGGGCAGGCATGTCGAGAGGCAGGGAGAGAAAATGGCAGGGGTCTCCCTCTCTCTCAAGGCTGCAGTCTGTCTCCTTCCATGCCCGGCTCAGGGCCTCTATCCCGGTGGGTGGGTGGGTGCTGGCTCCCCTGCCCCTCTCAGGCCAGCCGTTCTCCCTGAGGTGGGAGGGGCTCTTTGCATCGTGCCAATCTCTGTCTCCCCCTCCAAGCACTGTCCTTTCATCGTGTGCATGACGTATGCCTTCCACACGCCCGACAAGCTGTGCTTCATTCTGGACTTGATGAATGGTAAATGAGCGGGGGGTGGGGGGAGTGTTTCTGCCTTGGTCTGCTGCAGGGCAGCAAAGGGGGTGGGCTGTCTCAGAAAGATGCCACCGCAGGGCCTTTCCGTGGGGGTCCCTGAAGGCCTCCCCAGGGACTCCAGGCAGGGCAGGGGCACAGGAGGGCTTGGACCCTTCCTGCCCAGAGAGCAGCTGCCGAGGGTGGACCTTCTTGGCCTTAGGGGGAGACCTGCACTACCACCTCTCCCAGCACGGGGTCTTCTCAGAGAAGGAGATGCGCTTCTATGCCGCCGAGATCATCCTTGGGCTGGAGCACATGCACAGCCGCTCCGTGGTCTACCGGGACCTGAAGGTAACTCCTGCCGGGAGGGGCCGGGGGTGGGGGGCGAGGCAGGGCACCGGGGGTCAGCATCGTGTCCCCAAAGAGGGCTTCTCCCGGGCACCCCTCCTTCGGCCCAAAACGGAAGTGGGAAGGAAGTGGGCAGATTGGGCTGGAAGCGGCAGCTGGGACGGTGTCTTCACAGGCCCCCTTTGCCCAGGAGCTCCAATGGGTAGCAAAGGCTCTGGGGCCTGAGAGACCCTCTCCTCAACTGGAGCGTCCTCCCTCTCCCCTTGGGACGTCCCCCCCTCTGCCCTTGTCCTTGTGCGGCCGCTGCAGCTGGCTGCTTGCCTGACAGAGTCACAGGGGCCGCCTGGTTTCTCTCCAGCCAGCAAACATCCTTCTGGATGAACATGGCCACGTGCGGATCTCCGACCTGGGCCTGGCGTGCGATTTCTCCAAGAAGAAGCCCCATGCCAGCGTGTGAGTGGAGGAGGGGCGCAGCCGTGCAGGGGCAGCCCACCAACGCTTACCCTGGGATTGGGCCCAGCCCTGAGTTCAGCTGCCCCCCCCCCCCGGGACCCTTTCTGTGGGCGATGCCAGAGTTGGAGGCTGGGGCCCTTTTGTCCCCCTGCTCTGCTCCGAGGGGTCGACCTGAGCCTTGGCCAGCCCCCCTCTCTACTGGCCTTGGTCTCCTCCGCAGACCCCCTCCCATGTCTGCATCCCTTTCCCAGTGGGACTCACGGCTACATGGCTCCGGAGGTGCTGCAGAAGGGGACGGCCTACGACAGCACAGCCGACTGGTTCTCCCTGGCCTGCATGCTCTTCAAGCTTCTCAGAGGGTGAGTCGGGCCGCTTCGGACCGGCTGAGCCCCCTCTGTGGGCTGCTGCTCTCGGGGGGGACGTTGTGGTGAGGGAGGAGAGGACGAAACCTGGGCTTAAGACTGGCTGAAGATACGTTTCTTGGAAGGAGGGAAAGTTACCACTGGGTCCTCCAGGAGATGAGTAGCTCCGTGTTAATGTATAAGGCTCCCCATTTCCCCCCTCTGCCCCGCTGAATCCCTGTGTGCTCCTCCTCCTCCTCCTCCTCCTCCCTGCAGGCACAGCCCTTTCAGACAACACAAAACCAAAGACAAGCACGAGATCGACCGCATGACGCTCACCGCGGTAAGTGGGCTCGGCCCCCTTTCCCGGCAGGGGAGTCTCCTCGTACGTCCCCTGTGCAGCCTCCTCCGCGGCTTCACCCGGCAGTTCTAAAGACGGGGAGAAAAACCGCGACGGCCAGCATCAAGAGAATTCCATGCCTTTGCATTCTGGGAAGCTGCGAAGCGTTTCCTCCAAAGAAATCAGCTGTGCCGTTAAAGCCACGGGCTCCAGCCTGGATGTGCTGTGGCTTCAGTTCTCCCACCTTGGGGAAGGGGCTTCAGAGCGGGGGGGCTCGACCCTGGAAGCCTCGCAGTGCACTCCGGGCTCCCGTTCCGGCAGAGGGGATCCCCTGCTGGGCTTGGAAGATCCGCGTCGCAGGGCAGGTTCGGCTCCCGGAGCGTCTCTGCTTTCTCCCCAGAACGTGGAGCTCCCGGATTCCTTTTCTCCCGAACTCAAGTCTCTCCTGGAGGGGCTTCTCCAGCGGGACATCACGAAGCGCCTGGGCTGCCAAAGTGGCGGGTGAGCCCCCTACTGGGAAAGGGGAGGAAGGAGGGCTGTGGGAGTCCAGTTGTTTACGCAGTCTAATTGGCTGAAGAGCCCCGGTTTCATTTTTCAAAACTCCGGCTGCTCTCCCAGGCGCGGAATTCAAATCATTGCAGAGAGGGAAGAGCTCCGCTCCTCACCTGCACCCGGAGCCCCCTTCTCCCTGCAGCTTGGGGGGAAGGGAGCCCAGAAAACAAAGGGGCCCCTGGGTTGGGCCTGTGAGCCTCTCCTGCTTCAGAAACTCCTCTGGCCCGGCTGAGCCTGCTCAGTTGGCGAAGGGAGTCCCAGCGCGGCTGAGGCCCCTTTATGGGGTTATCAAAGCTGCTGATGCCAAGGGAGACTCCGGGTTTCTCCAGCCGGCAGCTGCCCGTCTTGCCTGCCTGTCCTGTTAGGTGGATCCTGGCACGGTGGGCCCCCGTGCTGCGGTTGGGTAGTGGCCGAGCTCCTGTCCCGGCCATTGGTGCTTGGAGAGACCCGTTTTTCCCACTGCCGGGCTGAATGCGGCCACTCGGGGGAGGAGACGGGGCAGGTGTGCAGCTTTGGGGCCGTGGAGGTCACGTTGTGTCTGTATCCCGCAGTGCCCAGGAGGTCAAGAGTCACCCTTTCTTTCAAGGAATTGACTGGCAGCACGTTTACCTGCAAAAGGTGAGCCCAGGGGGGCCCTTCAGCGTCAGGGACCCCGTTACCTGAGATCCTGAGTGACACTTTGCTGGTCCCTGATTGCCGAATCCGAACCCGATTGCGGTTTCTGTTGGAGCCCCTGAGGCCCCATAGGGAGACGAAGGCCCAGACGTTCCCTTGTAACGCTGCCCTCCTTGCGTTGCCAGTGCTCCCCGCCCCTGATCCCCCCCAGGGGAGAAGTCAACGCGGCAGATGCCTTCGACATCGGCTCCTTCGACGAAGAGGACACGAAGGGAATCAAGGTGGGCAGATCAGCCCGCCTGGGGGCGTCTCCTACAGCACAGGGCCGGGAGAGGCATTGGGCGTCTGCTACCACGTCTGCCCCAGGAGGGCTGTTGAAGGCCAGGGGGCCTCTTGAGGACTAGCAAGGCGGTTGACCACTGGCTGTGCTGCGGACGAGCTGCGTGTCGCTTGCAAACCAGGGGATTGTTCTGGAAGCGAATCCTCTCCTCTCTCCCCCTTCCTGCCAGCTGCTGGATTGCGACCAAGAGCTCTACAAGAACTTTCCCCTGGTGATTTCTGAGCGTTGGCAGCAGGAAGTGGCCGAGACGGTGTTTGAGACGGTGAACACCGACACAGACAAGGTGGAGCTGCGGAAGCGAGCGAAGAACAAGCAGCTGGGCCATGAGGAAGGTACCCCTCGGCTCGGCTGCCCCAGGGACCCGGCTGCAGAGACTCTCCGTGGGCAGGGTGGGCCACTGAGCTGCCTCCTGCCCAGGAATGGTCCACGGAAGGGCAGGACTGCAGCTGTTGGCGTTCTTTTAGAAGTGTATGCCCAGCCTTGGCAGTGGCTCTGGCAGCCTTCAACTCGGGGACAGCCCATCCCGGCCATGCCAGCTGTGTGTGTGGGGGGGTGCCCCTTCCGTCTTCCCCACTCATGGCGCTTCCCCCCCCCCCGACAGATTACGCTCTGGGGAAGGACTGCATCATGCACGGCTACATGCTGAAGCTGGGGAACCCCTTCCTGACGCAGTGGCAGCGTCGCTACTTCTACCTCTTCCCCAACCGGCTGGAGTGGCGAGGGGAAGGGGAGTCCCGGGTGAGTGGCCCCCTCCCCTCCCCCTGGCTACCTCACCTGCCCTGCCCTGCCTGCCCCCAGGCTGGGCAACCTCTGGGTTCCTTTCGCCCCCTCAGCAAAACCTGCTGCCGATGGAACAGATCCTGCTGGTGGAGGAGACGCAGGTCAAGGACAAGAGGTGCATCCTGCTCCGGATTAAAGGAGGGAAGCAGTTCGTCCTGCAGTGCGAGGTAAGCAGGGTGGGGAGGGGGGTTTATTCCTTTTGGGGGGGGGCTTTGGGGCTCTTAAGCCAATAAGGAGGTTGGGCTACGGAGAGAGAGGGATGCCGCTTCCCTCCCCCGCCTGACCTCTCGGCCTTCTGAGCCCAAGTGCAGCCGGGGTTGTTGGGGAAGAGCCACAGTTTGGGCATCCGATGGTTTGCGTGGCAGAGATGTTGGCTTCGCTCTGTCCTGGGGGAGGCAGCCCTCCTGGGGGCTGAGCGTGGGGGGGGGGCTCTCTGGTGGGGCTGAAGCCTCCTCTGCTCCCCCCTAGAGCGACCCCGAGTTCGTGCAGTGGAAGAAGGAGCTGACGGACGCCTTCATGGAGGCCCAGAAGCTGCTGCGAAGGGCCCCCAAGTTCCTGAACAAGTCCCGTTCTGCGGGGGTGGAGCTCACCAAGCCCCCCCTCAGCCACAGGAACAGCAACGGCCTGTAGCGGCTGGTGGGGAGGAGGCCGGCCGGTGAGCTTTGCTGCCCCAGAGCCGAGTCCTGCCAAGGGCAGCGGTCGGGCAGGGAGAAGCACAAGGGAAGACGCCTGCTAGGCGACGTGGCCTGAGGGAGAGGCTGCTGCCCACCCTGGAGGAGCCCGGCTGCACAGCCCTGGCATGGGGGGGTGGCTCCCACCCGGTTTGCATTTCGGCCTGGGCCGGGGATGGCGCTCTGGACCTTTGGGGCACGGCGGTGCTTCCCTGGCTGCGTCCACCTGGCCGAAGAGACCTCTGGCCCTCACGGGGGCCCTTCACACACGCCGACCAACTGAACTCGACAAGTTTTGTGTGGCTTCCAGTTTTGTGCTGCTTCTTTTCGGCAAAAGTGACTCTGGACTCTCGCTCCGTCTCCCTCACCAACTGCCCTGCCTGTCCTGCCAGCGTCCGCGGTGGGCTCTGCTCCTCCGAGCTCGGCCTGCCCTGGTGCAAGTAGAAGCGGAAGCTGGGGAGATTCGGGGGTTGTGTTGCCCTTGTGTGTGTCTGCCTGCCTGCCTGCCTGTCTTCCTCTCCTCACACCAGGGTTGCCCGGAAGAGCCGCAGGATGAAAGCTCCCGTGGCTTTCCTGACGGCGGCTCTTTTAAAAATCACTTTAGTAAATGTGGAGCATGCGAACGCTGGAATTCGCCTGCAGGCAGCCAGGCAGCCCCCAGGCTCTCCTCCCCCAGGTGCCTCCGTCCCCTCGCAGTTTGGACCCTGTTAAGGCAGGGGCTCAGAGCAACTTGCATTGGCAGTCTGTGGGGTCTGCGAAGCTGGAGCCCAGGGACCCTTCCTCCCCTTGGGAAGACAGACCTGGACCCTCCCCATCCGTCAGCAGGGGGCCGTTGGTGGCTGCTCGCTCGGAAATGTGGCTCTTCTTTGGTGGCAGTTTCAGTGGTCTGAAAGTTTAAGAAAAGTTGTTCTTGCAAGGGCTCCCCAGAGAGAGACCCCCCCCCCACTCTAGAACCGCTACATGGTTAGAGGGTGAATTGGCTGGTGTGATGGCACCATGCCAGCTCTCGCCCTCTCCCCCTCCTCTTTTGCTTGGGTTTAGTGGAAGGTGGGAGTCCTGACTCCCTCCTTATACCAGCTGGGATTGGAAAGGGCTTTCCAGGGGCTCCCTTAGGAGTCCTGAGCTGCAACACCCCAAGTGCGTCCCTGCGCCCGCTGGCCCTGCTGAGTAAGAGAGCCACCCGCCTCCCCGGCTCTCCTGTGTCCTGGAGGGGCTGCAAAGGACCTGGAGGGGGGATGATGAAGCAGAGGGCAGAGAGAAACCAACCCTTCTTTTGCCTCTGGGCGTCGCTTCAGGCACCGGGAAGGGCTGGAGAGCCGGGCTGTGTGTAAACAGCTGAAGGCTCTGGGTGAATTTGTGTTTTTAAACAAAACCGAAATTGAAAGAGTTTGTTTAAGAACAGGAGGGCTCCTCTGGGGCCATCAGTGCCCTGTCGGTCCGGCTGGCCAGGAGCTTGGCCGGTTGGGTTGGCAGGTTGGCAGCCTGGCCCAAACCAGGCAGGGTCTCCCTTCCCCTCCCGGCTCAGCTTCAGTGAGAATCCCCTCCCTCCATTTCTCCTGCCAGAGGGGATCTGTCAGGTGGTGCAAAAACTCCCCTTCCTTTCATAGCTTTTAAATAACAGTCAGGGGCCTAACAGAGGAATACTTGGGAAATTATTATAATAATAATACAAATTGTTATGAATTTACTAATGCTAATGAGTAAAGAGAGCATTTCCTTGGGGCATTTGATTGGTGGACGATGGGAAATAAGTCCTGAAAACGAAGGTCCGCAAAGCCCTCTCTAAAATTTCCTTCCCCTGGGAATTCCCGCCACCTTCTCTTCTCCGCTGGTCGTAAGTTTCAGCTCCTTTGTGTCCCGGGCAGAGCGAAACCAGCACGTTGAGGGACTTCCTGCAGAAGCAGCCCTTGAGGGAGGATCTGGCCGTGGTGGCAGTTGCACCGATGCAGAGAAGCTTCAGGGCTCCAGGAATAAGCGCATCCTCCGTGCAGCATCTCTTGAGGGCAAATTGCAAGTTACAGTTTTTTCCCCCTTCGGCAACGCACCGCTATAATAGAGATCTGTTTTAGAGCACCTTAAGCACCTTGAATTATGACGTACGCATCCTCTTTTTCAACTGTGCTGTAGACAGAGAAGAACTTCTAGTTAAAAACCGATAAAAATTGTTGGGATAATATACATTTTTGGAGATCTTAAGATTACATTGCTTATTTTCAGTATTACACAAAAGGGGAGAAATATATCTAAAAACACTGAAAAATGTACGCGTGTCCAAAAGATCATAGAAAGTTTTTTGTGCCTGCTGTTATATTCCATGATGTAAATAATATGTGGTTTAGCACTACTGAATATTAGAGCATCTAATACTTTGTTATTTTTTTAAAGCGTTAAACTAATAATCAAAGTTTTATTTTGGTACAGAAGTATTTTAAAAAATCCAAGAATTATGTTTTAACTAAGAGGCATTTTTATGTTAATTTATTTTTAAGTCTGGACACCTTGGTTTACTTAATTCCCTGTACAATTTTTTCTTTATCTTCTGTACGTTATTTAAACAGTAAGGATCCTTTTCCAGTTGGGTTCAATAACTTTTTATTACAGTTTTCATAAACTTGCTGTTCAAGCTGGATTTCCTTTGTCCAACCATTCCCAATAAAAGAAGTTCAGAGAAAAAAAGATCTCTCTCTCTCGTTTTCCCCTCTTCTGGCTTCGGGTGTCTTGGGGGTGATCTCTCTGGCCTTCTCCCAAGTGTGGCCGTGTCCCGGATTTTGGTGTTGGTGTTTAGCCCGCAGATCTGCCAGGCTGGGCAGGTTGGTTTTTGAACGCCAGTCTGCAGCACGGAGCCTTGGCAGGGGCACACCTGGCTTTCAGGAAGGCGTGAGAGGCAACTGCCTTCCAAGAAGACCCGGCGGAGACCTCAGGAGGGCAGCTCAGCTGCTGCAGGGAGAAATTCCACTTCTGCAATTCTTCTCAAAGCAAAACTGCCAGAGGACAAAAGATAAAGGACTTTGCAACTCCATGGATTGGATAGTAATTCCCAGCCTGCCTTTGGACATCTCTGCCCGTCTTGAACCAGCGAAAGATGATCCGGTTTCTTTGCTTGTTTTTCAACAATTCTGCCGTGTGTGTTTAGGCAGGATGGATGGATGGATGGAGCGGTGGCGTTTGGGGCTGCGTCCCTTTCCTCGGCCAGGTGAGGAGAAGAGCCCCATCTTGAGGTGAAGAGGATCAGGAGGTCTTCTCTGCAGGTTCCTGGCTTCAGGTAGAAAGCAGCCCTGGAGAGGTTGTTTTTTAATATATATATTTTTTTCTTAAAAACAAAAAAAAAACACATACGAAACAAAAGCAAGGAAAAAAACCCAACTTTCCTCCATTTCATCAAGCATGTCGTTTGGTTACAAGTTTTGGTGCATCAATTCTTAAGATTAAGAATAACATCACTGGTTTTGCATTAAACATAACTGAATATTTCGCTGTCATTGAGCATTATGTGTTCAAATTACCATCAATATTCTTTCATTTGTAACAGTAATCCTTATTTCCTTGGATTCATAATTATCTATCAAA